GTTAAGATGACGCAGAGGAGGACTGAACATAAACGACTGCTGAGAGCTAGATCTAGAATGCTTATGGAACCATGCTGGTCACCCTCCCACCTCAGGGCATAGGTAGTGACTTAAGCCAAGGAAGTCCCTTTGTTGCTTAAACCTTTTAAAGTGGAAGTCTCTCCTACTTGTGGCAGAGAACATCTCAACTGACCGCTGGGTTCAACAAAACTGATAGGCTGCTTATTGAGGGTTACCCCAGAAACTTTATTCTATTAATGTGTAAATTTATTTGGCTATAGGTTCTGTTCTTTCTTAGCACATCTCACAGGACAAGTTCTAGTTTGACTCCTGAATTTCACAAAAGAGGAAACTGAGGACTATATGTTTAAATGACTTTTAAAGCTATTAATAGTTAGTCTGAGATCTGGGCTTAGACTACAGGCCTCCCAGGCCTGCATTCTTACCTCAAGGTCATACCACCTCTCTGTCCCTTGAGGATAAATTTCAAAAGAAGAACCTAGGGCCAGAAGTGATGGCCTGCCTGCAATTCTACCTACTTGGGAATTTGAAGAAAGAGGAGTGCTTGAGCCAAGCTCTAGACCAACCTGGGCAATGTATACCAAGACCCCTGCCCCCACCATCCACCTGAAGAAAGCACCAACAAAAGAAGAACCTTACTGCTCTTTCACAGAGACTCCAGATTTCTAGAATATTCTGAAGCAAAGTTTGCAAGTTTTTGCGCTCATAAGCAATATAGAGCTTTAGGTTCAATAAAATAGGTCTGAAGTGTTTGAAAAAATTACATCAGTCACCAAATATTCTAAAATCAGTTAAAAGGTTATTTGAAATAAAAATATTAATTTCTGGCTGTTCTAATAAAGTTGAGACAATCTGGCAACACTAGGCCTATATTTCCACAAATATATTTCTCAAAAATAATGATTAGCAGGAGCCAAGTGATCAGTTCTGCCTCCTGGGATGAATGCATGGCCTCTCCACTTTGCCACAGTCACCACTATTCCCTATTGCATCCTAACACTGATGCCAAGTGTCATTGGTCATTCAGCAGTCCATGAGTCATGCTGCTTTTTAGAAAATATTCAGTCAATCAAATTACATATCTGGACCCTGTAGCCAATTATTTTTCTATACTTGAAAAAGTAAAAATTCCCAAACATAGATATTAAAAAATACTTCCAAAGTCCAGTAAATTTAAAGCAACACTGAGTTAATCAAAGACAAACAGGTTTCTTTGCTGTCTCTTTTCTTAGTCCTTCATGGGCTATGGATCCACTGGAGGAGGGCCAGCAGATATGATTTGGCGATGCACCTACTTTCTCAGAGACTATTTCTTTGTCACTGTTATTCCATTGAATACACTTAAGGAAATACTGCCATAATGTTTCTTTTTTCTAGATTGTTATCATCTCGGTTTTCCGATGTTCCCTGGAAACTATTTTGAGAACAGAACAACAGCAGCCTGGCCTAGTTCCAGCCAACTCACAGCACAGGTGAGCCAGTGGTCTAATCCACACTGAGATTATTCCAAAGAACAAGGCCAAGATTCTGCGATGTTCTGGCAGAGCGAGAAGAACAGGACCAAGCTCACTGCAGCCCACGTGCGTTCCTCCCTGAGGAACCAGCTTCCTGGCTCACCACTGTGTGTATTCCGTGTAAGAAAAAAAAAAAAAAAACAAAAGAGAAAGGTGGAAAACAAAAAGTGATGGTAGATTGATGCCAAAAGAAAAACAACGCTTTCTCAAAAACCGCCTCTTCAAAGAAAGGCATCACACCCAGCAGTGATTTCATCCTCTCTTTATAACTTTCATACTCAAAGGTGAGGAAAGACTAAATTTTAACTCTGATGGTCCAGTGTGCTCATATAATTCAAAACAATTAGATAAAGCTGAAAAAATTTATCCTTCAGATTAATTTTTCTTTCTTCTTTATTTTTTTGAGACAGAGTTTTGCTCTTGTTGCTCAGGCTGGAGTGAAATGGCACAATCTTGGCTCACTGCAACCTTCGCCCCCGGGGTTCAAGCAATTTACCTGCCTCAGCCTCCCGAGAAACTGGGATCACAAGGCATCTGCTACTGCACCTGGCTAATTTTTGTATTTTTAGTAGGGACAGGGTTTTACCATCTTAGCCAACTTGGTCTTGAACGCCTGACCTTGTGATCCACCCACCTTGGCCTCCCAAAGTGCTGGGATTAAAGGTGTTAGCCACCATGCTTGGCCCCTTCAGAGTAATTTTTCTAAATGTGCAACTGTGTCCCTCCAAGCAAAGAGACTAGAAGCTCATTTGCTGCTGAGGGATGAACATGGAGTTTCTTGCAGGGGCTCTTGATAATATTGCTAAATACCATCTAAAAAGTCATTGTATTAGATATTCGTCTTGGAGGTTTCCCCTGGCTACAATTTTCCAAGTAGAGATTGGCTCATAAATCCTTTCAGCAGCCTGCTCCAAGCTGGCCAGCTTTCATTCCCTTGGAGAAGAGATCCCCTCCTTAGAAGTAAGCAGTTCCTAAGTGGCTGGAGTACATACCTGCAAGCAAGCCTCTTTCACTCTAACAAAGACCACAGCCAATGTGGAACATCTGCTAAACTGGGGTGGAGAGTCAGAGGCAAAACCTCACCTAGGGTGCTGCTTGTGAGACATGGATGTTTTCCTTTTTCAGCAAGAAGTCAAGCTCTTACCTCCTAGAGATCTGTTCATCTGCCAACTGCTAGCTCTGAAGGTGCTTTGTCTCTCTAGTCTATGAGCCCAGACTCAACTCCCTTGCTGCTTTTGGGACTGTGTGGGTTGTCACAAAGTTGAGACACATTTTAACTGTCTTCTTCCTTGCCAGGTGAGAGCACATCCTGTCCTGACAACCTAGTTTAGTCATTTGCTCCATGGAACCTTTGTAGAACAATGACATGTATAAAATGACATTAAATAAATGTCTAATGACATTAGATCATCCAGTCACCCTAGAGTTTAATTCTTAAGATTTCAACTCGCCCTTAATAAGATTGCACCTGTGTGCTTAATAATATGAGCATTTACACAAGTTAAAACAAGCTTTCTCAGCCTCAGGACAGGCTGTGTGCAGCCTTTGCTTTCATTGAGACATCAGAGAGAACTCTTGAAAACAGAGTTAGTGATGAAGGAAATGTTGGGTTTTACATTCTAAAAATAATGCATTTACTGAGCATTTGTTGTATGTCAGATACAGTGCTAAGCATTTTCTAAGAATTATCTCCTGCAACCCTCACATCCACCCCAGGAATTGTTCAACTTGTATGAACTACCAAGTGAGTTTCAGAGAAGGTTATATCACTTGTCTAAGGTCATGCAGTTAGTAGGTACCAGAGGTGGTTCAACCCAGGCAGCGTGTCTCCCAGCTCTCCCAACACAATACTCCATCACTCCCTGGAAAACCAGTGCTGCCTCTTCCCTTCCAGTGTCCTCAACCAGCCTCGAATGTGCTCATGGCCACACTGGGTTAAGAAGAGATGTGAATCTATACAAAAATCTTCAATGTTAGACACATTTGAAACAGCGAAGAAAATGCTACATAATAAAGACCTCCTAATCTTAAAAGACTGACTCAATCCTCCTTTTTTTTTGGATTGTAGACTGTAATCCTCACTGCAAAGAACTGAACAGCTTCCCTGAAATAAAATAATGATTTCTCCCTACTCCATCCCTTCTACAAACAGTAACTGCAGTGGTAGCAGCCACAGAAAGATCAAGCTGGGCCCCAAGACTTCCCTGGAGTTTTTTTGCTTTACCTGCTGTAGATGAGGCACTCTCGGTTATTGATGACTTTATCTGATTTGTACCTCCGGAGGTCTTCCCAAGCGTCCTTGATGGCAGTGACTGCCAGGATAATGCAGATTGGTATCATGTTCACCTCAGGCTGGAAAGCATTGACCACAGGGACAAAATTCAGAACCACAATGCCCACAAAATAGAGATTTGCAAACCGGTGTAGCTGCTCAAAAATGTTTTTGGGGATGAAGGACAACACGGTGTACTTGCTGGTCTTGATCTGATTCCCACGATGATGTCTGTTGGGGTTCTCTTTGTGAGGCCATCCTTCAAAGGGCAGGTTGGACACCACCACTCGTTTCTTGTCTTCTTTTCTTTTCCACCTTTTCCTCCCTTCCTTTTTCATCTCTGCTCAATGTTGTCTTTAATTCTCATAATTTAATTTTCATCCTTTACCTGCCTTCTCTGCTGAAAGCTTTTCTCTCTTCTTTTAGGAGGATACCAGAAATGAAAAGCCAGGCTGCACACCCCAGGGGAGAAACATGACAAGGAAGAGGCCTGCGGTGAACAGGTGTGTATCCACCAGGCCACTTCCTTCTACTTGTTTGAGACTCCACCTGTTGGAATGTAGACGTCACCCACAGGTGTCGTCCTTTTCCACCCTGGGCAGCCAAGAACAGGTGTACCAACGCTGGGTCCTAAAACCTACCCGGTTCTAAAAGCAAGAATTTTTAACTTAAGAAACTGAGGTTTTAAAATGGCAGACATTTTCTTGGTTTGGGAGACATTGCCTGACATCTTCCAAAGACTTTCTCCTGAACTTAGTCTCCCAAGAGAATCCAGCCACCCTAGAGTTTAATTCTTCAGCTTTCAACTCACCCTTAATAATACTGCATGGGTGTGCTTAATAACACGAGGATTTATAAGAGTTAAAACAAGGTTTCTCAGCCTCAGCACTATTGACATTTTGACTAGATAATAATTCTTCCATGGGGCTGTCCTGTGTATCATAGGATATTTAGCAGCACCCCTGGCTTTACCCACTAGATGTCGGTAGAAACCCCCACTTTCAGTATGGAACCAAAAATGTCTCCAGACATTACTAAATGCCCACTAGGGGTCAAAATCACCCCCACTTGAGAATCAGTGCATTAAATAATTTAAGAAAATATAATGGAAGAAAAAAGACTCATCCTTAGGCTATGCTGATGAGTTTGCATAACCCAATTGCAAGAGAGAACACAGGGATGGTTTCTCTTACCTTTCATATATTCGAATGTGGGAGCAGTTTATGGCTTTATCGAAGCGGTATCTCTTGAAGTCCTCCATGCCATCCTTGATCATGATGACGAACAGGACAATGGCCAATGGTAACATGGTGATTTCCCTGTGGAAGACTTCCATGGAGGGCATCCAGTTCAGAATCACCAGGAACAGGAAATAGAGGTTAGCCCATCTGGAGGAGCAAGCGAAGTGTGAATAAACACTATGGAGAAGAAAATGTACTTTCTCCCCCATTTCTTCCCTACTGTTTGGCCTTTGTCAACTAAACATTCTCATTCAGTATCACCTCAAACATTGTGGTAATGGCTTTGAAGCCAAACCCATCTCAATTTTTAAAATTAATTAATTTATTTATTATTTCCATAAGTTATTGGGGAACAGGTGGTGTTTGGTTACATGAGTAAGTTCTTTAGTAGTGACTTGTGAGATTTTGGTGCACCATCACCCGAGGGGTTACACTGCACCCAATTTATAGTCTTTGGTCCCTCTACCCCTTCCTACACTTTCCCCGAGTCCCCAAAGTCAATTTTGTCATTCTTATGAATGAGATTGGAGATGATTATTCTCAGAAATGGAAAACCATCTAGATTTAAATTCTGTTCCTGTTATTTACTAGTTGTGTGATTTTTTGAGCTTATTTCCTCTTGCACACAATAGTATTATTGACTTTACAGGGCTCCCATAAAAATTACATGGTATATATAATATCTGCGTGATACACAGTAGAAGCAACTGTGTAGAACTGCTCTGAAGCAAAGCAGTTGCTCAGTAAACAATCACTTATAATAATAATTACAACACTGAGGATATGTAAGCACGTATTTTATAATGATCTCATACATTATCTCAAAAGCATTGCTAATGTTTTTAAGTTTTCCACATGCATCTTGCTCTCTCTTGCCATAGTGCCTTTGCAGCAACATTCTGGTGACTTCTCTCTGTCCCTTTTCACTGAGGTAATGCTGTCTCTCTTTCAGGCTATACTTCAATTCCCGGACGTCCTTAACTAGGCAAGATTTCCTTATTATTCACTATAATAGCACCATATACCTCTTCTTAGAAGTATCTATTCTAGTTACAACTTTATATCAATTTATACAATTAAAAAACTAATGTCTGTCTCTTTTGCTAGACAATATATTCAATAAGAACACTATCTCTCTGCCTTTTTATTTTTCTTATGTATCGCTAGCTCCCAACCCATGGCTTGAGACAGAGTAGAGCCCTGACAAATATTGGCTGAAATGAAAGAATGAATGACAAAAACTTCTTAAGACAAATGCATTTGGATATTAAAGGAAAGGTGGCCCCCAGAGGGGAGCATCTCTGAGTTTATCTAAATGGAAAATACTTGATTACAATAAGTATTGCCGGCCGGGTGTGGCTCACACCTGTAATCCCAGCACTTTGGGAGGCTGAGGCAGGCAGATCGCTAGAACCCAGGAGTTAGAGACCAGCCTGGGCAATGTGGCAAAACCCCATATCTATATAAAAGTACAAAAATTGGCCAGGTATGGTGGCACACACCTGTGGTCCCAGCTACTTGGGAGGCTGAGGTGGGAGGCTTGAGCCAAGGAGTTCGAGGTTGCAGTGAGCTGAGATTGCACCACTGCATCCCAGCCTGCACAACAAAATGAGACTCTCTCTCTCGCTCTCTAAAAAAAAGGGAGTATTGTTCAGACAAGTGGATCTGTACCTATGAAATTGTTCAAAGAGGTTCCGGGGCAGGAAGGTGAAGAGGGTGTACTTGGTTGTGCAGGTTCTGTTGCCGGGGTATCTCCTGGAGACCTCTTCCCAATCTTGATGGAACATGCTGTTGTTGGGGAACACGACCCGCTGCTGTGTCAAGTTGTAGCTCTGTCTCCCCTTCTCTGGAGAGAGCAGCGGTGTGGTTTCTGATGGACAATGGGAGATGCCATCTCTGACTCTCCACTGCCACCGATACCATGATGAGTCCATGGAGAGGGCCATTTCCAGCGGCAGGCTAAGGTCTGAAAACAGACACAGGAGGAACTACATTTAGGAGAAGCATGCAGCATGTTTGCCTGTTCACTGGTCGACCATCCGTGCATGGAAGACACTGAAAATATTCTCAACCCACACTCTGACCTACTTCTTTGTAACTGAAGGTCACTAAATCCTGACTGTTTGCATCCCTGATGTTTCTAAAGATAGGATTTCTTACATTAGAGTCATACGGATTTTGTTTAAGATCGAGTTTCTGATGTTAGAATCCCTATGTTCTAGGGTGAGACACACTAAACAAATAATCACATAAATAACATACTCCTAATACTGCAATATGTACCATGGGAGCACTGAGGTGGGTGGGACGTGCTGTTGGCCTAGTTGGGGCTGTCAGGGATGGCTACAGTATGGCTTGCTGGGCTATGACCCTGCAGGTCAGAAGTCTAGCTCTGGTTTAGTCCTAGAGTGGAGCTGTTTCTTCACCTTCAGCTGATCCCCAGCTTCCTCACTGTGAAATGAGGAGCACTCTTCTTACCATGCTGTTCCCACAAGATTTCTGGGAGGAACAAATTGGATGGTACAGAAAAATATATTAGGACACATCTTAAAACAAAGGAAAATGTATCTATTCGTTTTCTTTGGCTCTAACATTTTCTGATACTGATGACATTTTGCAGAAACTCTCCTGTGGCCAGAACCTCAAAGGAGAGTGATAAGTGGAATAGAGGGGACAGATTCTTCTTTAGGAAATTTGACCATGAGGTGATTGGGCTGTGCTACTGTCCAGCCAACTGGCTTTTCTTAATCTAAATGGATGGGGGCGGAGATAGGGGAGCCCTTCCCTTCTCTTCATTCCATTCGGTGGTTTCTGAAACTAACTACTCGGTCAAGCAGATGATCTGCCCAAGTAGCAAAGAAATGCTGCTTTACCTGGGAGTTTCCAGTTTCTGAGCTCTTTTGAATAAAGCCTATAAGCAAACTCAAGGTTCTTTTCGGCCAAATTTTGCTTAAAGATCCAGAAGGATATTATTCAAAGATACATTTTATAAAGTTAGAACTTCTATATAACGGTCCTTCTCACGTAGTAGGCTCATAGGATAATTTCTTTTGATTAAATGGATGAGTGCATGTCAAGTACTGTTAATCTTACAGTGAATAACCCAGCCTGTCATGGTAGATACAATCACTTAGGAAAAAAAGTTTTATTTCTAGTTTAAATGGTAATATTTTTCTTTCCTGATGCCCATATGATCTGACCCTCATCATAATTCTCCTCCTAGCTTTCATCAATCCAACCAATTTTTGATCCACAGACCCCAAGGCTGTAGGGAGCTCTTCAGAGACTAAGTCAGCCCTTGTAGCCAGCATGGAAAGGGAAATGCAGTTAGGGATTCCTATCATAATGTGACCAAAAGCAATATTATGACATTTAGCAAGTGGGAAATAATATTGTATAACTTCTTTTTTATTATAAAAAAATGCATCTTCGTGGATTTCTTTTTTACTGCAAAGGAAAAGGAAATGAGAAGATAATTCATGAATAGTGTTGAAAACACAAATGGGAAATCTTGCCTTGGTTAATGTCATCCGTATCAGATTTCTCTCCCTATCAGGTGGTAAGATCTTTTTAAATGAAGAGATTGGATTGATGTGGGAAATGTTATTTTAGGTGGAGTATGATTAAAAGGCTATTTATCATAAGAGTAGTCTTTGTTTTTTTTTTAACCATGCAAAACGAACTTCCTTAAAAATAAAGCAGTTATAACTTGGATGCCAAATTAGTGAATGAAAGTTTGATGAGGAACTAAATATTTCTAAAGTTTCAGAGTATCCTCCCCCAATGTTATTCATTATGACAATAAAAAGAATCACTTTTTAGTGGAGAAATATGGCAGACACCACCTTATGACAGAGATCAAAGCAAGTATTGAAGCTGGCCTCACAGGGCTAACAAGAATTCTGAACAGAAATAGAGTTATAACTAAGCATTAATCAGGCTGTACTTCCTTGTAACTGAAAGTCACTAGATCCTGACCATTTGTGTCCCCATTGCTCCTAAAGATAGGATTTCCGACATTAGAGTCATGAGAGATTTAAGATTGAGTTTCTGATGTTAGAATCATAAGGTTTTTGTTTAAGTATTGCTTAAGATGTTTTTCTGATCCTAAAGTCCAGTGAAACAGCTGATGCCAACCAGTTTGAAGACCCCACATTGAAAAAGAATCAGCATGAGGACAGTTTCTTCCTTTGTCTGTCCTATGATTTCACTCTGTACTCTTCGATCAATCAACAATCTTCACTCTTCAGCCTGTTCTAAAACTCTTATAAACTTTGGTCTCAAACTCCTCATGGGGATGGATTTGCGGTTTCCGCCCATCTCCTCATTCAGCAGCCCTCAAATTAAACCTCTTTCTCCAGCAACTTGATGTCTTGGCATATTGACCTGCTGCACACATTGGGTGGTGGACCTATTATGGTTACAGTATCACAGATACTAGGAAAAACTGACATCTCTTGCCTTCTGATATGACATACTGAGAGGAACACAAGTTACTCTCATGGTAGAAACATTAAAAAAACCTCAAATTGGGGAGCTATTCTAGAAAATAATTGGCCTGTGTTTTTCAAGTGTAAATGGTCAAGAAAGGGGCAAAAGAACTGTTTATGGTAAAATAAACTAAAAATAAAAACTAAATGTAATGCATAATCTTGGATTGAATCCTACATTAGAGGGAGATTAAATAGTATAAAAAGCATTATTGGACAATGGGCAAAATTTGAATATGTACCATGGTTAGGTAATAGCATTTTAACAATCTCAAATTTCCTGATTTTGATAATTTTATGGTGGTTTACATAAAAACATTCTTGTTTTTAGGAAATGCATACCAAAGTATTTAGAGGTAAAGGGCAAGATGTCTCCATGGGTCAGAAAAAATGTATATGTTTGCATATATGTGTACATATATATGTATGTGTATGTACATATGTGCACACACACATGCAGTGGTAGAGTCAGGGAAGCCTTCTGGGAAAAGGAACATTAATTTAAAGCTACTGGAAGAAATGTAAGAGTTAGCTAGGTAGAGAAGTTGGGGAAGAATGCTGCAGGTAGAAGAACGAGTTCCAGAAATGGGAAGAAGTTCATGGGGTGTTGTACAGAGCAGTGGTCTTCACTCTTTTTGGCACTAAGGACCGGTTTCATGGAAGACAACTTTTCCATGGACAGTGGTTGGGGGATGGTTCTGGGATGAAACCGTTTCCCCTCAGATAATCAGGCATTCCTTAGATTCTCATAAGGAGGGCATGACCTAGATCCCTTGCATGCGAAATTCACAATAGGGGTGCATTTCTTTGAGAATCTAATGTCTCCACTGATCTGACAACAGGCAGAGCTTACCTGCCACTCACCTCCTGCGTTGTGGCCTGGTTCATAACAGGCCATGGAATGCTATGGGCCCATGGCCCAGGGACTGGGGACTCCTGCTGTAGAGTACATGGAATGGGAGACAAAGAGTGGCAGGCATTGAGGCTGGAGAGGCAGCCCAGGGTCAGATGGCCTGTTGAAGCTGTTATGTCTAGGGCAAGAGTCTGAGGAGTGCCAGGGAAGTGACACATTGTGAGTGCAGAGTCCAAGCGTTATTTTGGCTACAACACATAAGCCTGGGCTGGAGAAACTGAGACTGGGGGTGGAGGCAGCTCTTTGACCCACCACCCCTCTCCTCTCCAAATATCTATTTCTTCCTGATAATGGAACAGGAAACAAAGAGGGGTTGTATAATCCCATGAGCTGAGGTGTGGTTTATTGCTGCTTACAGAAAGTTTAGGGTGGGGCACACCTGAAGAACTCCCTAAGTTCCTTTTAGCTGTAAAAGCATTCTTTCATTCTAGATTTTTGAAATGGCACCTCCCACTAAAATAACTTGAGGATTACCTAATTTTGCTAATTTATACTCAGATCACCTTGGGCTTGAAGTGAGAATCCTCTCAAGCACCAGCCTTATTCTCTTCTGGGCACAATGTCCGCTAGGTGATAGGAGGACAATCCTATGTGGAGGACCTTTAGACTAACAAGCTGGGCTAACTTCAGTTTTCTGAGGAATTCTGTTTCTCTCTCCCAAGCTTTTTCCACCCCACCTGGCTCACATTTCCAATGGACTCTAGTTCCTTTCGGTTTCATTTTAATAAACTCAAATAAACCCCATCTCTAGCAAGTTCCATTTTCACTGTTAGGGGATAAATCAACTAGTCATTCATTGAATCAACAACTACTTATTGAATCCTTGTTTATATACCAGGTGAGTAAAACCTACACACACACCCCTCTCCACCTGAGCTTACATTAAGTGGCTGAGCTATTTTAAATCCACACTCCTAGAAATAAATATATATTCACCATCCAGGAAAAGTGCCACTGTCAAAAGACAAAATCAGAGCAGGTTTAAAGATCTTAATTAACTTTATTTGTGGTTCTAGAATTGGGCAGCACTTCATTTCATAAAATATAATCAGCGTTCCAATGATCTGGGCAGAGGAGATTGGCTCTATAGAAAGGGCTGAAGAAAGCAGAAACACAAAACAAAAGTGAACCGGTTATTTTAAAATTAGTTTCCATGTAGGGCAGGAATAAGAAATAGAACAACAGAAAAATAACTGATGGATTAACATCAGGTTACTTTTTTGTAAGGTTAAGGGCAGGGGCAACTTCCTTTTCATGCCAATTGAAACTGACCTATTTGGGATATTATCTCTCTCTCCTGATTTCTCTGAAGGTTGATAACAAATTTAGTTTTAGTTTAGTGAAAATGACTCCATTTTAATTTTTAGTCTAGTTTTTTGGGCCTAGCTTTGTCCAAAACAATGGCCTCCTATAATTTTTATTTAATATCACAAAAGAGAGCAGGGTCCAGTGAGAGAACATTACAGAGGATGGGACTTTGTCTCACAAGGGTGGGGCTTGAACTGAGATCAGGGAATGGGTGAGAGGTGGCTGGATGGTGTGCTACTGTGTATATATATGTAC